TTTTCAATGCAGTGGCAGGAGGCATTCATCTGATTGGTGCATCTGACTGCCCGACTTGCTCTCGTGCTTGTTTTATGGCAGTGAAATAGTCAATGAAATTGTAAGTAACTGAATCATCGTTAAGATGAGCATGAAGTATGGACAGTTTTGCTCGCACAGCGAATGTGGCACTAAGCTTGCCTGAAATGTAATCAAATGGAATCTTGAGACGCAATGTTGAATGAAGGGTGAGCAGTCTATGGATCCAAATCTTATTACGGCCGATACTTAAAGACGCAGGGGGACCACGGATGAAACAGTATGGCTGTAAAATTGTTTAACAAGTAGCCCTAACCGAAGCAAACACTCAACCACGCTGAAAATCGCACTAAAGCCATTGAAAGGGCCTTGGAAACCACATAATTATATGGTTATTATCATTTCACGTGCAAGCTGTTCGCAGAAGTTCTGTTGTGCTAGCAAACCGAGAAACAGAAGCGAAAGGCAAAACGTTTCGTCATCTGGTCTTGTACGACTACCTAATTCTTCGTAGCAACGAGAGGAAAGGAAACGTAAAGTTTCTCACAGTTGACATATCTGTCTTTATTTTCTTGCTGCCCTTCTTTTAGTGAACATGATGTTGCGTGCTGATCTCCGTTTCTGTGCCATTAATCAGAAGTTCCTTATTTTTTAAGACAGGATTTACAGGCATGTGCAAGTATAGGTTGTAGACTCCTGTTTCGTGTAGTTACTGAGTGGTACTCATTTATCAACCACGAAATGAAGAAGGGCGAGTGACCTCGACAAAGGTTTGGACTTGGGATCTGTCGGTTCTTAGTTCGACGCTCTATCGACTGAGCAACCCAAGTCTCAAGCATTGTGTCGTAAATTTTTTTGTCGATGGAATTCGTGAATAAGACAGTGCTTGCCCTGGAGCGGAATCGAAGAAACAGCAGGAAGAAGAAGGCAAAATGAAACATCGAACAACGGATGAGGTCAGCAAATTGACCGTACCAAAGAAAAACGAATGCGATTTTGTAGAGGAATAAAAAAAGCTGAAGGGAAATGTAGTTACAAAAGGCGAATGAGGTGAAAGAAGAGTGCGAAAGCTTGTTGATTGCACAAAAACAAATGAAAGCCGGTCTTTCTGTTATAAAAGGACACAAACGCGTATTCTAATAGGAGGAAGAAGTAGACAGACTGCCAAGGACAAACCGAATTGGCTGATCAGACGGAAAAGAAGCAGAATAAGAATTAGAAATACAAACGAATGTGTTACTTAGTATAGTCGAACACGAAAAGAAAGAAGGGTAGAAGAGTACGGAAAACAGAAGATCAGCGGTAGAGCGAGATGCGATCTTTCAGCTACTGGAAAACGGATGATGAAATGGTGCTTCAGTTCCGGAAAAAAGGATCAAGAACAAACAGACTGAGAATAAAGTATGCTAAGGTTTTTAAACTGAAACAAAATTGATTCACTGCAAGTAGGTGAAGAGCATAAAAATGATGATAAAGATGAAAATGAATCCACAGAAGCGATCATGTTTGTTGGTTTAGTAGAACAGTTGGAGGAGACGGCCTGTTTGCAGTGCTGACGATGGGGAAGGTGAAGTGGAATCGAGTTAATGGAACAGTCGAAAAGAAGTGGCAGGAAGATGCAAGCAGATACTTGAACAGGACTTGTATATGGTGTGATGTTAAGAGGGAACGAAGTCGACTGTTTAGAAGGGAAATGATAATAACAAAAGGAAAGAGAGAGATAGTTAAATGAGGAAATGAAATTTTTTCTTACAGCAGAACAAGAACAGGAGGAAAGAAGTGGGAGGAGTTTGAAACCGATCCAACCACAAAAGGGGGCGTAGTATGTGAAATGCAAAAGAACAGCAGAGCCGCCAAAAGCTGCATAAGCGAGGTCCAAAATAGAAGCAGTCAGAAATTATGATCGAGTACGAGCTTGTTTTTTTTTCTTAGCATGTTTAAGTTTAACTGGGGTCCGTTAATCCAGTCAACTGCTTCCACATTTTTTTTGGTGTTTGCTAATTCTTTAATCACTCTTCGCAGTTTGAAACCGTTGTTTATGTCATCATGCCACCTTTTCTTTGGTTTTCCTATTCTTTTTTCCTGGTAATACGACAGTGTTTGGACTTTGTTACCAATGTACTCGATAGACGTTCTTTTAACGTCTTACTGTCATGCTGAGTGATGATTCAGTATGAAATGGTGGTACTTGAAGGGAACAAAAGCGATTGCGTGCAAAAGAGTAAAAAGTTTGTGTATAAGATGGTAATGAAGGCGACGAAGAATTTTAAGTTGGAATGACATTTGACATTCTACCCTAAGTGATACAAAATCATCACTCAGGAATAAGTTATCGGTGTTAAATTGTTTCCTCTATTTTGTTCGGTCCCCATTGTGTTCCCGGTATCAGTAACGAAGCGTCTCGACTCTCAACTTAAAGATTTACTGTTTTCGATTTACGGTTGGACATCCAGACCATGTAGGTCTTGGTCTCAGTGGCAAGAAGTCTTGTTTTGAAGAGTCTTGTTGAGGAAGTTTTGTGCTTCGTAAGGTGCCGGTTTCGAATCGTGAAGCCTCGACTTTTTAGCCAAACAATATTCATAAGTTAGTAAATAAGCACAGAAGTAAGCATTTGCACACGTGGCGAAGTACTTGAAAAGTAAAGAAGCCAGTGAGTAAGTTTGTGAGTTACAGAGGATCATTAGTTGTTGTCGAAACAGGAAACGGATCGATGCTTCCTTCTACAGTTATTTAAATTACTTGAAAGAAAGCAGTTTTGACAGGAATCAAGTGAGCACATAAGTTGGTACAGACGCACTAAGTAAATAAGCACTGAAGTAAATCAGCAAGAAAGCGGTTATGTGAACAGAAGAGTACCCAACAGGTATGTGATGAAAAGTGCAAGTTATGAAGTTATCAGTCATGTGAGCAACAAAGTTAGCATGAAATAAGAAAGCAGTACTTTAGCAAATAAGTACTTATGTAAACAGTTTGAACAATACATAAACGAGCGAATGTATTTTTGCAGTAAGCAATCTAGTAAGTACGCAGTTCCTTCAGCACAAATGTAAAGATGAGAGTTGATAATGTCGAAGTAATCACTTATGTAAGTGGAGAAGTAAATAAGAAAGTGTGGAAGAAGTAATAAAATAGCTTAGTAATTAAGTATGTTGTTAGGTAAGCATTTACGTAAATAACAGAATATGCAAGATGTAAGTAAATAATCAAATAAATTTGCACAAGATCGCTTAAGTGATTGGGAAGTAACCGAGAATCAGTCAGAACATGCCATGAACAGAGTAAGCAGAAAGCAAAGAAATAGATGAGACGATATGTAAATGTGGTAGCAAGCAAGTTAGCAAGAAGGTAAATGAGCAGTCTAGTAAAAAAACAGAGGTAGAAAAGAAAGAAGGTAATTATGAGCAAATAAGCAAGCATCTGCATGCGTATATAAGTTAGTGAACGTTGTCTGTTGTAAAACATTAGCCCGACATGTCATTCGTTACACCGTCCACCCCTTGAGTACTGTTTTTACCGTAGCAGTGATCCATAGGTGTAGTTTGGGTTATTGAAAGTTCTCGGGTGGTCTTAAGTTTTAAATGATGTTACAAGAAGAACGGAAATGGGATGCGAACAATTATTTAACCGTCTTATATGCATAGCTGAGCACTGTGAACCGGATGAATTGGGACATAGTCGAAACCCGCCAGCCACGGCATAGACAAATTTGACGTGGGAATTTGACTTGCTTGTTTTTTGCCGGATACGTGTGTTGTCAATTTTTAATCACCTGTCGTTAATGTACACCCCGCTGGTGAACCGTGTCCGTAAATGGTCGCAGTTTGTTCGTCGTGTCATCGACACTGGGGGTAGTCGAGTTTCGTCTAGTGGCCGTGCGGTGGCTGTTGGTTCCCCACGCCACTGCTCTGCTTAACTCTACCTCTAAATTTCGAAGAACCAGTTTTTGGTCGGCGGATGTATTCATTGGAATGTTGTTGGTTCTTTGCGTCGCCTGGTGGGCCGTTTTGCGTGCGTGCTCGACCTGTGAAGTGAACAGAAGTGAAGCGGATGATGTTATATGTGTGTTATGTATGGAGGCAACGCAAACAAAAAGCACTGACACGCGTCGGCGTAGTATTAACTGTGTTACTGTAGTTGTTGTGATGTTACTTTGTGTTTTGTTTTTGTTGTTTATTCGTCGTCGATGCTGATGCGACGAGACCCGATACTCGATACGACCTATGCGACGCTGCTGTATCTTACAACCCGCGCTTGTGTATCGATCCGTCTGCGGGTCGACAGATCAGCACTGCGACAATGTTTGGGCGTGCGACGAGTTTTTCTCTGCGGCTGATTCTTTAGGCAAAGTCATAGCAGACCGTGCGTCGCGGACCGGATGGCTGGATTGCACATAGAAGCCGTGACAGCTAGCACCGGGAACCATCACGAAATTGCTACCGCATCGACCCGAAGGGTACGGATGTTCTGGATGATGTCCAGAGGTAACAAGTCAATGGACAAAATAGCAAAAGGGTGAAGTGACGCGAGTTTGTGGGTATATTACTCGAAAACGTGGAGTGATGCTTAATGACCATTTGTTTGGTCAGCCATTATGTCCATAGCCTTTGGGTTCGCATCTTCTCCATCCATAGTTCCGTTTATTCATCTGCTGGCTGGCTACTTTTCTACCGATATAAATTGTACTTTGTGAAATTCCATTCACTGATCGTTCATCGAATGTTCGAGAGGAGCCGGGACGTTTACAAACATATGATTGAAAGCAGTTGAGGCAGAAGCGCCCGTCGTCCATTGGCCGGTCGTTGTTGTCCGTAATTGAATTGGCGGAACGACGCGTCACACAGAACACCTACACCGCAGCAGCTTGTGTACGTTTAAGACATCGACGACAAAAATTCGTGCGACAAGAACACTCGCAAACGAGGCACGTGCACGTGCTTTCTTTGCTTCTGTCATCGACGACGAATTCTTCGAATTGCTGAACTTTATATGACGAGCCATGCCGGCTGAGGCGGAGGCGGAGGCGGCAACGGCTGGAGCGACAATCGCGAACTAAGTAGTCGTTTTGTCTCCGATGCTTTGCGGGGCGGTGCGGTGCTGGGCGTCGTCATCATGGTCGACTTTTTCACCCGCTCTTCGTCACGGTCACTCACCTCCTCAAATGGCACTTCTTTTTTGACGCTGCCGGATGGATGGCCAATGTCCAACATGGTCGCCATTCGGATTTCATTTTGAAGAAGGAAAAGAAAGAAGATGAAGAAAAACAACTGTCACCCTGCAAGATGAATGACAATCTCATGTCACTTGTCCAGTTTCGAGTACGCGGCCTACTCGCGCTAGCTGTACCTTACTTCTTGTAGGACCCGTTAAGCACGCTATGACTCCACGGTATTTTAGTACATGCAGTGTATGGACAATCATGTAGATGATTTCTTCGATTTATCAATCAATATCAGTTGATGTGTGTATGAAATGCGAAATGCCAAACGTCGTTATGAAGCAAAACGCATCGTTGCAGGTGAAACAGGTCACGTACGTTACGAACTTTCTGTGATGACGATTTCAAACAACAGAGCGACAGTCAACCAGCCTGACGGCGATTTCCTGGATTTTCTGAATGGCGTTGCAGTCAGCGTTGCTTCGACCATGGTTCCACCGGGTGACGACCGACTGGGATCGTCGAATCGAACCGAACCTGAACTTCTTCGTTTCCCGCGTATTTTTTAACCGTACGTCAATAGATCATATGTCAACCGACGACATGATCCTTCGCTTTCGATCGAAATGGTGTCGATCTATCGGCTCTTCCAGGTGAGGCATGTTTTCATTCGCATTCGACGACTACCGAGACGAAGTTGTCGTCGCCGTGTCACTTGCACATTCATGCAACCTACGTTCGTTTAGTTTCGGTTCTTCGTGTCGTTGTCGTGACCACTGAACATCTCTGTCAACGGATTACCGGCCGGTCGCTCTTTCACTGGACCCGAAAAATTTTTAACGCAGCTTCAGAAGCGAAGGTAGAGCTTTATCACAACCTACCCACCCCCTTCTCCTAAAAAAGGCGAAACAGAAAAACCAGCTATCTCCAGACTGTTTCATGCAGAACCCCGAGAGAGTATACTGCAGCATTTTGTCTTGCATGACAGTATGCAGTGTTATTCTCTGCTAAAGTCCGGATCCCATTTTGACAGTACACTTGTGTTAAAATAAGTCGACGTGATTCCCATTGTACCCCAACTTCCTTTGGGCATGAAGCGTTTCATTTTTCCAGGCTTTAATGTTACGCCAGTAGTAACGAAGAAACGCTGGCAGGTTCAGATTTATTCCT